GCCGAGGGCCCGTTTCCGGGCCACCTGGTGGACGTCAGCGGCGCGGGGACCCTGTCCCACAGCTACCAGTACGAGGTGTGTCTGAGGGGAGACTCGGGGACCAATGAATTCAAATTCCTCAAGCCAATTCTCCCCAGTTTCGTGGGTGAAGGGGCTGGTAGGGGCACCGAGGAAAACTCTCACTTTAAAAGAAATCATTTTGGGTTCAGTTAGGCATATCACCTTAAAAGGAGATAAATGATAATTATAACCAATGTCTTATTAGTTCGCAACCCGTTCATTCACATAAAGAGCTACATATTCATACATTAAAAATTATTGTCATATTTATAGTTATTTCAGCTTGTTGAAGTATTTTACATTCTGAATCTCTGGGTGTTTGTTGTTTTTGCTGTTGTTGTTTTTAGCCAGGTCACATTTTGCATGTTCATACAATAGTGGAGAAATATTGTTTTTCAGTTTTGGGGGGTTCAGATTTTTGGAGGTCGTAAATGTTTTCAGATTCCTGATGTTTGAGCTTGTTCACTGATACCTACTTATGACTAAGAGAATTGTGTTTTCTGATTATCAGCATATTATCTTGTAAATGTGGCTTTCAGTTTTAAAAATACTTTTCATTCATACAAAATTTTTTGTTACCTTGGAAATGGTTGGGTTTCTGTAGTGTTGTTTTAAAAACACTATTGGGGGCACCTGGGTGGCTCAGTCGTTAAGCGTCTGCGTTCGGCTCAGGTCATGATCTCAGGGTCCTGGGATTGAGCCCTGCGTTGGGCTCCCTGCTCTGCAGGAAGCCTGCTTCTCCCTCTCCCAGTCCCCTTGCTTGTGTTCCCTCTCTCGCTGTGTCTCTCTCTGTCAAATAAATAAATAAAATCTTTTAAAAAAATAAAAATAAAAACACTATTGTCTTTCCTCAAAGGAACTAGTATTTTATCTGGATGTTTTCTAAGTTGAGTATTTTCTTTCAAAATTGATATTGAACAAGACTATCCGATACTATTTTAAATAATTCAATCCCTGTTAAATAGAAAAAATGTTAGTAGACTGATGATTACTTTTTCATAATAAATGGTTTGGGTGTGTAAATAATGATTCTCATTCTTTTAAAATAATATATAGTCACATGATTCAAACATTCAATATGAACAAAAAACAAAGGAATTTTTTTTCATTTTCAAATTTTTATTAAATTCTAGTTAGTTAACATACAGTATAATATTGGTTTCAGGAGAAGAATAATAGCCACAGAAGATTTAACCAATAAAACATAAATCTATTTCTCTGAAAAATTCAAGGGTATTTATTTTTAGTTAAATTGGTAGATTGGATATGTACCTTTAATTTGACTTCCTCTAAATGTGCATTAACATAAAAATGAAGAGCTATTTTCAAAAACATAAACTTAAAAGAATGGAAAGAATAAGGTAGAAGACAACAGAGAAAAATCTTAGTAGCTAGAAAGTAGATGAATGACTTAGTAGACTGACAAACCAACTACCAATCCTGAAGTGGCAAAAGCTGAGAACCAATCCTATTTAGACAGCAGGATTTTCAGAAGCATGGGAGCTGTCAGCCCTAGATACTCTGGAAATGATAATAGGGTGCCAAATATGGAGGATCATATTAAAATTGCCTGAAAAATGGTTAAATCTGTAGCAGATCACTTTTCCCCACTGCAGTCAGTGAGCAACCTATTTCTCTGATCCTGGAGTTTTGATTTCTCATGACAGCAAAAAGGAGAGTCATTATATTAGAAGTTCCACTGGCAAAAAATTGAGGGCAGGGTAATATGGGTGGTGGAAATAAGTGACCATCCAAACATTGAGTGCTGACTGATTGTTAAAACACTATGATAATCACTGGGACCAATCACAGCTGTTTCAGTTCTCTCAGACACATGGCAGAATTAACTTTCTTCCTTCTTTCCTTCTTTCTTCCTTCCTTCGAGAAAGCATGGGCGCACCAAGGTTGGGGGAGCAGAGAGAGAATCTTAAGCAGGCACCATGCTCAGTGTGGAGCCTGACTCAGGGCTCAATTTCATGACCCTGAGATCATGACCTGAGCTGAAATCAAGAGTTGGAGGCTTAACTAACTAAGCCACGCAGGCGCCCCTGGCAGAATATCAATATTTCCTCTTTAAATTATGTATGACCATGTAATTTCCTTTAGCCAATAAAATGTGAGAAGAAATGAATAACTTCTGTGCTAAAGCTTTCAAAGACTGTACATGGTTTAACACATTTACTTTCTCCAACATAGTGATCCTGAAAGCATAGGTGGAGATGGAGTCTCCAGAAACCTGGATCCCTGACTGACCACTGTAAGGGCTCCATGCTGAACTGTATGGGATATGTAGTATAAGAAAGGAATCAACCTTAATTGTCTTAAGCCATTGAGATTTGGGGTTGTTTGATACTGAAGCATTATCTAGCATATCCTGAGTGATGTAGATCTCCACCCCTCTTCTCTCATCAATCCTTTACCTTTTCAATCTATGCCTTTTCTTTTTCGGTAGAAGATTTTATAGAGTTGAGTAATCTGACCAGTCCAAGTAGAAAGACCTAATCAGACTAACACTGGGGTTTCCCCAACTACAAGTGCTCTCAGTTCACCTTAGAGTACATATTAAAATGGATAAACCCTGCCAACATGCTCAGACTATCATTTAGCTCCTTAGTCTACCAAATTAAATTAAGAACAGACACCTGAAGAAAGTTTCTAAAAAGAAAAACAGAAACAAAAACCAAGCAAAGAGGAAAGAAGGTAAATTGGAGAAAAAGTTTGCAGAGAAGAAAACCTGAAAAAAAAAACAACTATAATTAGGGGCACCTGGGTGGCTCAGTCGTTAAGCGTCTGCCTTCAGCTCAGGTCATGATCCCGGGGTCCTGGGATCGAGCCCCGCCTCGGGCTCCCTGCTCGGCGGGAAGCCTGCTTCTCCCTCTCCCACTCCCCCTGCTTGTGTTCCCTCTCTGGCTGTGTCTCTCTCTGTCAAATAAAAAAATAAAATCTTTTAAAAAACCAACTATAATATCATCAGATGGGAAAAGAAGTTATTACATCTGAGAAATAAGTACAGAGGGCTGTCTTGAAAACATCCTTTTAACAAAGAGCGCTCTTGTAAAATATTAACATAATGAAATGAAAATCTTAAGAAGAGCTTGAAGGTAGAGTTAAGAAAATATTACAGGAAATATTGCAAAAAGTATTGTAAGATGACAAACAGGAAAAAAAATAAGGAAATTAGAGATTGTAAAGAGGACCAACATCTGATTTGTAGTAACTGAGAGAGAAACAAACAAAAGAATTATCCATGAAGTAATTCAAGAAAATTTCTAAGAGCTGAAGGAAATTAATTTCCTAGTAGAAAGGGCTTACTAATTGTCAATGGATAAGGATAAACTCAAACCATGACACATCAGTGTTTAATGTGAAAATGCTTGGTGCAATAACAAAATACTACAAGAAGTAAAAATACAGGTCACATACAGGAAGATATAAAATAAGATTCGCCTTAGAGTTCTTAACAAATACATTGGTTTGGGAACTCACTGACAAAATATTTTAAAATTCTGAAGAAAAACATTCTGTGTGGAGCACTGGGTGTTATGCACAAACAATGAATCATGGAACGCTACATCAAAAACTAATGATGTAATGTATGGTGATTAACATAACAATAAAAAATTTTAAAAAATTCTGAAAAAAATATTTTCAACCTAGAACTCTATAATCAAATTTTCAATCAAGTTCAAGGGTAGACTAAAGATATTTTAATACACTCAAGGTCACAACAAAATTTAACTCTCATACACTCTTCTCTGGAAACTACTAGAAGATATCTATCAAAATGCTAGAGTAGTCCAAGAGAGAGGAAATCAGAAGAAACAGAAAAGAGAATACTGAAAAAAGAGGTGAAATGAATCTCTAGATGATGTTCAGGGATGATCCCACGATGACAACCGTGTCTCAAGGGCAAACTAGTCCAATTTGGAGCTGTATAACTCAAGAGACAGGCATTTTGGAGGATATCATCAGCAAGTCCCCTGACATCTCTTCAATCAAATGAAACTATTATAGGATGTGATCTATTAAAATCATAGAGTAAACCAAAAAGGAGGAAGAAATAAAACCCTCAAAATAGGAAATCCAACCAGAATAAAAGGCAAAGAGAATTCCAAGCACAACAGCAAAGAAATGTTCCAGGATGATAGCAATGCAGCACATTTTGAGAACAACCACCCAATTTAAACAAAATTGCTATCTCAGGAGATAAGGGAATGGTCATGTGGAAAATCCTACTGGGAAGCAATTGGAGGTATGGGAAGAACAAGTGATAAATATAAAGAAAATCAAATGGGGCACCTGGGTGACTCAGTCAGTTAAGCGTCTGACTTTGGATAGGGCATGATCTCAGCATCCTGGGATCAAGCCCAGCTTCCCACTCAGCACTCAGCGAAGAGTCTGCTTCTTCCTTTCCCTCTCCCTCTTGCTCTCCCCCTGCTTGTGCTCTCTCTCTCTCAAATAAATAAAATCTTAAAAAAAGAAAATCAAGTAAATGAAAAAGCAAGGCAATTATTAACTTCAAGAAAAAAAGTGAGAAAGAAAATATAATTTGTACACAATAATATTCCCAATGATACTGCAACTAAAGGAAGGCATGAACCTACCTTGAAAGTGTACAAGAGCTAAAAGCTAATCCAACATAAGGAGTCAATTGATAATGTCTAAGATTAATCAAAATACAGCAGAATACAGAATAAAGCAGAAGAGATAACAGAGATTAAAGTGGCTGGCTATTGGGAAGGGAGCTAGGAAAGTAAGGAAAGGGCAGAAAACAATTGTATTTTATTCTAAGCCACTTAGTAATATTTGATTTTGAACCAAGTTCATATACCTTTTTGGAAAAAAATGCATATTAAAGTATCAGCAAACTATAGACCTTGCAAATCTCCCCAAGAATAAAAAGGAGACAAGACATTAAACATTACTAACAAATAGGGATATACCTAAAGATAAAAAAATAGAATGAATTTTGCAAACCTAGAGAAAATGAATGGCTTATAAAACTAAATACAAATTACTTTAAAAGTAAACAAAACCTGGACAGATGGAAAACCAAAAGTAAAATGGGAAAGAGAGTCATAGATATACCACCAGAAAAGCCACCAAACCGAACTCATTTAAAAACTGGAGAACGTTTTCTTAAGATTTACTCCTGGTGGGAAGCCAGAGTTTAATTTCATGTTCCCAGATTAAGACAAACAACAAATTTATTTTTCTGCAAATTCAGACTATCAGAGGGAAAAGCAATGTAAACTAAACATTACCGTGACCATTTGAGGAAAAAGATATAATAAAACCGCAAAGACACTTGGGGGTAAAAAAAATCACTCCTGTTGCAGTTCCTCTAATCCGCCATCTTTTTGTTCTATTCTTGAAAAAGGGAATAACATCCACAAAACGCAAGGTGGCGCTGCTGGCTAAAAAGAGGGGGAAATAACCGCACAAAGGATGTTAGAATTTCCAGTGTTCAGAGGAAAGCTGGCCAGACAAGAAAAGTAGAGGGAAGGAAACCGTGGTGATGGAATTAGGGAAAAGTGGGACTCCTCCCCACGAGCACTGCTATTATCCAGCTCATTTCTAAGGATTCGGTTTCTGCCATTTCTGAGAGCTGCTTGAGGCCGAGTGAATGTGGTTTTGAAAGATTGCTAAAACAAATAATGGAGGCCAGAGTGGTGCGTGCAGTGCAGAAAAGGCAAGTGTTATTTCTTTGTGTGTTTCTGGGAGTGTTTTGGGCTGGCGCAGAACCGCTTCGGTATTTTGTGGCAGAGGAAACGGAGAGAGGGACCTTTCTGGCCAATCTAGCAATTGATCTGGAGTTGGGGGCGGGGGAACTGTCAGCTCGGGGATCTAGAATCATTTCAGATGAGAACATAGGATTTTTACTCCTCAATCCGCTTACTGGTGATTTGCTTCTAAATGAGAAATTAGACCGAGAGGAACTGTGCGGACCCACAGAGCCGTGTGTGCTGCCTTTCCAGTTGTTACTTGAAAAGCCTTTTCAGATTTTCCGTGCTGAACTATGGGTCAGAGACATCAATGATCATTCTCCAGTATTTCTAGATAGAGAGATTACCTTGAACATATTAGAAAGTACCACTCCAGGGGCAACATTTCTCCTAGAAAGTGCACAGGATTCAGATGTTGGAATCAACAACCTGAGAAACTACACCATCAGCTCCAATGTCTATTTCCATATTAATATCCATGATAGCGGGGAGGGGAATGTTTATCCCGAATTGGTATTGGATAGAGTGCTGGATCGTGAAGAGGTTCCTGAGCTCAGGTTAACCCTCACCGCCTTGGATGGCGGCTCTCCGCCCAGATCGGGAACCACCCTCATACGCATCCTGGTTTTGGACATAAATGACAACGTCCCTGAATTTGTAGAGTCCCTTTACAAGGTGCAGGTGCCCGAGAACAGCCCTCTTGGCTCGCTGGTTGTCGCTGTGTCAGCTAGAGATCTAGATACCGGAAGTAATGGAGAAATAGTCTATGCATTTTTTTATGCTACTGAAAGAATTCTCAAAACGTTTCAAATCAATTCAACATCTGGCAATCTTCATCTTAAGGCTCAATTGAACTACGAGGCAATACAAACTTATACATTAACTATTCAGGCCAAAGATGGTGGAGGGCTTTCTGGAAAATGTACTGTGGTGGTCCATGTAACAGATGTAAATGATAATCCACCGGAACTGCTCATGTCATCACTTACTAGTCCAATTGCAGAAAACTCACCAGAGACAGTAGTAGCTGTCTTTAGGATTAGAGACAGAGATTCAGGGAACAATGCAAAGATGGTGTGTTCCGTCCAAGACCATCTCCCCTTCGTCCTGAAGCCATCGGTAGAGAATTTCTACACCCTGGTAACAAAGAGACCCCTAGACAGAGAGAGCCAGGCCGAGTACAACATCACCATCACCGTCACCGACCTGGGGACCCCCAGGCTGAAAACCCAGCACAACCTAACGGTGACGGTGTCCGACGTCAACGACAACGCCCCGGCCTTCAGCCAAGCCGCCTACACCCTGCGGGTGCGCGAGAACAACAGCCCCGCCCTGCACATCGGCAGCGTGAGCGCCACGGACAGAGACTCGGGCGCCAACGCGCAGGTCACCTACTCGCTGCTGCCGCCCCAGGACCCGCAGCTGCCGCTGGCCTCGCTGGTGTCCATCAACGCGGACACCGGGCAGCTGTTCGCGCTCAGGTCGCTGGATTTCGAGGCGCTGCGGGCGTTCGAGTTCCGCGTGGGCGCGGCCGACCGCGGCTCGCCGGCGCTCAGCAGCCAGGCGCTGGTGCGCGTGCTGGTGGTGGACGACAACGACAACGCGCCCTTCGTGCTGTACCCGCTGCAGAACGGCTCGGCGCCCTGCACCGAGCTGGTGCCCAGGGCGGCCGAGGCGGGCTACCTGGTGACCAAGGTGGTGGCGGTGGACGGCGACTCGGGCCAGAACGCCTGGCTGTCGTACCAGCTGCTCAAGGCCACGGAGCCCGGGCTGTTCGGCGTGTGGGCGCACAGCGGCGAGGTGCGCACGGCCAGGCTGCTGAGCGAGCGCGACGCCGTCAAGCACAGGCTGGTGGTGCTGGTCAAGGACAATGGCGAGCCGCCGCTGTCGGCCAGCGTCACGCTGCACGTGCTGCTGGTGGACGGCTTCTCGCAGCCCTACCTGCCGCTCCCGGACGCGGCGGCGGCCGAGGCCCGCGCCGACCCGCTCACCGTCTACCTGGTGGTGGCCTTGGCGTCGGTGTCGTCGCTCTTCCTGTTCTCGGTGCTGGTGTTCGTGGCGGTGCGGCTGTGCAGGAGGAGCCGGGCCGCGTCGGCGAGGGCCCGTTTCCGGGCCACCTGGTGGACGTCAGCGGCGCGGGGACCCTGTCCCACAGCTACCAGTACGAGGTGTGTCTGACGGAAGGATCTGGGACCAATGAATTCAAGTTCCTCAAGCCCATTATCCCTAATCCTCAGCTTCAGAGCACAGGGAGGGAAGTGGAAAAAAATTCTTCCTTCCGAAATAGTTTTGGGATATAATTATTGCTAGGAACCTATTTAATAAACACATTAACTTCTAGTATTTTTTTTTGATTAACTAAATCGTTTATGCCCATCACCACCAATAAGGTGTTGTTTAATTTTCTCTATTTGGTTCATCTTCAATTTTCAATTTTATGCCTATCTTCACAAATTTCTTTTCCGTCATATTTTAGCCCAATGAAGTATTTTTCAGTGGAATCCCAATAAGTGAAATAGGCTCTACCTTCAAAGATGGTATCATTAACATTTTCCCACTTTATAAATGTCTTTATTGACTTTGTACTTATGTTTTTTAGTTCATAGAACTTGTTCAGTTATTAAAATAATCTGCCTGTGATCTATGCATTTATTATTTGATATTCTCTTTTCCTTTTAAAACTGGTAATTTTTTTTTGGTTTAACAACCTCAGTTTTTATTATAGCATTTTTAAACACCTATATTACTTTTTTAAAAAGTTCCATTTTCCCTGTATTGGTACCTGCATATTTAAAATACTTACGTTGTGTGATATGACACATAAATCTCTATTAAGTCTTATCTATATAAGAAGAAACACCTCTGTAAGATAGAGTGTGTATATGTGTTTAAGTTTGGAGATAAAGAAAGCAAAGTTTAGGTGTTCTATAGCATTGTGTAGAAACATTTAATATATTTGTTATTTTAAATTCTGTATGAAAAATACCAGAGATCCCTGTTAAGTTTTTATGGCTAACAACAGAGTCCCATTCAGTAGTAGGAAAAAAAAATAGTAGAAGTCATCAGAGGTTTGTATGGTGTGGCTTTTATGTCAGCAATTTCAGTTTTTGGCATTCTCTATCCCTTTCCCTGTACAATATCCCTCAATTTAATCTGTATTCCTAGCTTATGGGAAAAATAGATCTTCTTTCTAGATATTAGGCCTTTGAATAAAAATTTCTTTAAGGCAGATGTTATCATGCTGTTCTTACTTTCAGTAGTGTTCGGATAGGCATTAGTGTGGTCTGTTCTCCTCTCTTTTACTTGACACAGAGTAATTAGATCCCACTAGATTTTAATTAAGAGGGACCTTAAAATAAAGATTAGTCCCTTCATTAATTCTGTAAGTAATTTTAAAAGCCAGTATTAAAAAACAAAGTCATATGAAAGAAAGGAAACAGCAATTGTTAAGAATGAGTGAGTGAAAGAATAGTTTTCAAATGGTGAGGATTTAAGGCACTGAAAATTGTTTCATACCCTACTAAGTAGGGTTTGTTTATCCATGCTTTAAAACAGCAAGCATTGAGTGTCTGATTTGCAAACCTAAGATGACTAAGACATGGTTTCTTTCCTTACATAGTGACATATTGGCCTGAAGAAGGGACAAATTGGTATGAAACAGGAAGCAATAATATTTACAGGGCAATTATACAAGTTTTTATGGGAGCACAGGAGGGACAGCCTTAATCCTTCTTTCTGATTCTATTTAGGCAATGTAATTAGATGTTGAAAAAAATTGTTGAAGAATGTGTGAAACAAGTTTCTTTTGTCAGTTTTGGTCAATATTTTTGGAACAGTAAAATCTGTTGTTTTATGCCCTATGTTTTTAGAGAAGTAAAATCTGTTATTTCGGTGGTCCCAAACGTCACCACTATTTTCCCTTTGGTTCATGACATTGCATGGGAGTAGTGTCAGGAGTGAAGGACCTACTACAGAACTAAAGGTTGCATGATGAGGTGGACAGTTAACTGCTAGAAACATTTCTAAGTATTGAATTTTTAACTTTTCCTATGAAGCAGTGAAAAATCTCAACAATGTGAACAGTACTCTATCTCAACATTGCTTTCTACAAAACAAACAAAAAGAAAAGAAAAACAAAATATTTAAATGAGTCACTAAAAAAAAAATTCCAAATATACACACACACACATTAGGTATAGCCATTTGAGTCTGTTGGAGGCCACGCGGTGGCGCTGCAGGCTAAAGAGACAAAAAAAAAAAAAAAAAAAAAAAAACCAACCCCACCCACCCTGGACTGGGAATGCTGCGGAAGTCGTTAACAGAAAAGGAAGATCAGGGCCGATGAGCTGGGAGAAAACCTGTAGTGGTTCAAGATTGGGAAAAGGAAAAACCCAGACCCCTGCTATACATGGCGTAGGTCTGGGGGTTGCTACTGCTGGTTCTTTATGCTGGGAGCAGTGATTGTGACCAACATTGACAAAAGACGTCTGAAGAAACAATGGAGGCTGGAGCGTTGTGCTGGCCAAGACAAAGGCAAGTCCTATTTGTCTTTCTTTTTGGGGGAGTATCCTTGGCAGGTTCTGGGTCTGGACGATATTCGGTAACAGAGGAAACAGAGAGAGGATCATTTGTGGTCAATCTGGCAAAGGATCTGGGGCTAGGGGACCAGGAGTTGGTTGCAAGGGGAGCCCGGGTGGTCTCTGATGACAACAAACAACACCTGCTCCTGGATTCTCAGACTGGAGATTTGCTCACGAATGAGAAACTGGACCGGGAGAAGCTGTGTGGCCTCACAGAGCCCTGTATGCTATATTTCCAAATTTTAATGGATAACCCCTTTCAGATTTACCGAGCTGAGCTGAGGGTCAGGGACATAAATGATCATTCACCAATGTTTCGGGACCAAGAGACAGTCTTAAAAATATTAGAAAATACAGCTGAAGGGACAGCATTTCGACTAGAAAGAGCAGAGGATGCAGATGGAGGACTTAACGGTATCCAAAGTTACACCATCAACCCAAACTCTTTTTTCCATATTAAAATTAGTGACAGTGATGAAGGCATGATATATCCAGAGCTAGTGTTGGATAAGGCACTGGATCGGGAGAAGCAGCATGAGCTCAGTTTAACACTCACGGCACTGGATGGTGGGTCTCCACCCAGGTCTGGGACCACCACAATACGAATTGTGATCCTGGACATCAATGATAATGCCCCCCAGTTTTCTCAGACAATCTATGAGACCCAGGCCCCAGAGAACAGCCCAGTAGGGTCCCTTATTGCAAAAGTCTCTGCGGGAGATGTAGATTCTGGAGTCAATGCAGACATATCCTATTCACTTTTTGATGCTTCTGAAGATATACGAACAACCTTTCAAGTCAATCCTTTTTCTGGAGACATTGTTCTCACAGCGTTGCTTGACTATGAGCTAGTAAAGTCTTACAAAATAAATATACAGGCAATGGATGGAGGGGGCCTCACTGCAACATGTACGGTTTTGGTGGAGGTATTAGATATCAATGACAATCCCCCTGAACTGATCATATCGTCACTTTCCGACTACGTTGCTGAGAATTCTCCTGAGACCGTACTGGCTGTTTTTAGAATTAAAGACAGAGATTCTGGAGAAAATGGAAAGATGCTTTGCTACATTCGAGATAATCTGCCATTCCTTCTAAAACCCTCTCTGGAAAATTTTTACATCCTAATGACAGAAGGAGGGCTGGACAGAGAGAGCCAGGCCGAGTACAACATCACCATCACCGTCACTGACCTGGGGACCCCCAGGCTGAAAACCCAGCACAACCTAACGGTGACGGTGTCCGACGTCAACGACAACGCCCCGGCCTTCAGCCAAACCGCCTACACCCTGCGGGTGCGCGAGAACAACAGCCCCGCCCTGCACATCGGCAGCGTGAGCGCCACGGACAGAGACTCGGGCGCCAACGCGCAGGTCACCTACTCGCTGCTGCCGCCCCAGGATCCGCAGCTGCCGCTGGCCTCGCTGGTGTCCATCAACGCGGACACCGGGCAGCTGTTCGCGCTCAGGTCGCTGGATTTCGAGGCGCTGCGGGCGTTCGAGTTCCGCGTGGGCGCGGCCGACCGCGGCTCGCCGGCGCTCAGCAGCCAGGCGCTGGTGCGCGTGCTGGTGGTGGACGACAACGACAACGCGCCCTTCGTGCTGTACCCGCTGCAGAACGGCTCGGCGCCCTGCACCGAGCTGGTGCCCAGGGCGGCCGAGGCGGGCTACCTGGTGACCAAGGTGGTGGCGGTGGACGGCGACTCGGGCCAGAACGCCTGGCTGTCGTACCAGCTGCTCAAGGCCACGGAGCCCGGGCTGTTCGGCGTGTGGGCGCACAGCGGCGAGGTGCGCACGGCCAGGCTGCTGAGCGAGCGCGACGCCGTCAAGCACAGGCTGGTGGTGCTGGTCAAGGACAATGGCGAGCCGCCGCTGTCGGCCAGCGTCACGCTGCACGTGCTGCTGGTGGACGGCTTCTCGCAGCCCTACCTGCCGCTCCCGGACGCGGCGGCGGCCGAGGCCCGCGCCGACCCGCTCACCGTCTACCTGGTGGTGGCCTTGGCGTCGGTGTCGTCGCTCTTCCTGTTCTCGGTGCTGGTGTTCGTGGCGGTGCGGCTGTGCAGGAGGAGCCGGGCCGCGTCGGCGGGCGGCTGCTCGGTGGCCGAGGGCCCGTTTCCGGGCCACCTGGTGGACGTCAGCGGCGCGGGGACCCTGTCCCACAGCTACCAGTACGAGGTGTGTCTGACGGAAGGATCTGGGACCAATGAATTCAAGTTCCTCAAGCCCATTATCCCCAATATCCAGGCACAGAGCTCTGGGAGGAATAGTGAAGAAAAGCCCACCTTTCGAAATAGCTATGGATTTAATTTTCAGTAAGAATTCTTTTTTTAAGTGTTGTACTCTAATATCCATATTAGTTTAGTTTAAAACTCCTAATTATGCAGTTTCAAGCCTAATTTTAAGTGCTATATATCTGTTTTACAATGTTATTTCATCCTTTTTGCATTAATCAATAGGTAGTTTTAATTAGCACCCTTTTCTAAATAATAGTTTTAAGGTTTAACCATTTCAAAATGTGCAAGGATTTAGTTATTATTTCTTAAGTATATTTCATAGACTAATCTCTTGATCCTAATCACCTTGTACTTCCTTCATGTAAGAAGACATACCCACACTTTTGACCTTATCTAACATTCTATTTAATCATATATTTAAAGACCATGTCATATAGCATTTAAAAATAAATATTTTTCTATTACACTGCTCATGACACAATGAGATCATCTTGTGAGTGATATTGGACTCACAAGATACCTTGTAGTCATATTATTATTTCGTTTCCCTTAAATACACTACTCTTACCTTTTTCTAGTGTTCACTTTTGCTGACATGTAAAAATAAGTTATGTCTTACAATTCCAAGAAAATGTAATAGTCTGCATGAAAATGAAAATAAAAACATTTTGAAAATTTTTGTGAGAGTATTGGTGGACTGTTGGAAAGATAATCACTTTTTATTTCATTTTGTAAATTTATTTTAGTTGTTAGGAAAATTTAAAATCAAGATGAACTAAAAGTCATGAAGAAAAACAATAAATTCTTCAATCTCCAGCCCCCTCCTACAGAGTAGTTTCTCTAGAATTGCTCTCAATATTTCTAAGTAGTATGTTTATACCACTGTATCATAACATTCAGTTTTATACTTTAATCACTTCTTCCTATGATAAAAAAGGATTTAACTTCTCTACTTTCCAACTAACACATATCCAAACATTGCATGTGCCCTCTCTCTTATTCTCCCAATAGAGGTGTCATTTTTTTAAGTTAAACTAGTAGTTTTTGTCTGTATTACCAAGATTACTTCAAAATACACATTAGTTTAATATGATTACATTTCCTTTCTTGAAAAACTTCATTCTGAGGGTTGACCGTTGTTTTCACTTGCATAATTTTCTTTTTGCTATTATTGATTTTTCATACTATCTCTCATTTGAATAACATTTCTCCTAAATATTAAAAAATGTCAGATACGTATCAATTTATTTCAGATCTTCACCCAGATCCTCTTGTATCTCTGATTCATTAACACTGGTTGTTCCTTTTTTTAAGTTTTTATTTAAATTCCAGTTAGTTAACATACAGTGTAATATTAATTTCAGGTGTACAATTTAGTGATTCAGCACTTCCATACAATACCTGGTGCTCATCACAACAAGTGCACTCCTTAATCCCCATCACCTATTTCATGCATCCCCCCACTTACCTCCCCTCTGGTGACCATCAGTGTGTTCTCTATAGTTTAGAGTTCGTGGGGGCACCTGGGTGGCTCAGTCCTTTAAGTATCTGACTCTCGGTTTTGGCTCAGGTCATCATCTCAGGGTCATGATCTCAGGGTCCTGGGATCCTGCCTTGATTCGGGCTCCCTGGTCAAAGTCTACTTGGGATTCCTTCTCTCCCTTTCCCTCTGCACCCCACCCCTCGAGCTTTCTCTCTAAAATAAATAAATCTTTTTTAAAAAGAGTTTGTTTCTTGGTTTTCCTCTCTCTTTTTTCCCCCTATGATCCTTTGTTTTGTTTCTTAAATTCCACATATGAGTGAGATCATATAGTATTTGTCTTTCTCTGACTTATTTTGTTTAGCATAATACTGTCTGGCTCCATCCATGTGGTTGCAAATGACAAAATTTCATTCTTTTTTATGGCTGAGTAATATTCCTGTGTGTGTGTGTGTGTGTGTGTGTGTATAGCACATCTTACTTTATCCATTCATCAGTTGATGGACATTTGGGTTCTTTCCATAATTTGGCTATGGTTGCTAATGCTGTTATAAATACTAGGGTGCATGTATCCCTTCAAATTAGTATTTTTGTATTCTTTGGGTAAATACCTAGTAGTGCAATTGATAGATCATAAGGTAGTTCTATTTTTAACTTTTGGGGGGAACTTCCATACTGTTTTCCAGAAGGGCTGCACCAGCTTGCATTCCCACCAACAATGTAAGAGGGTTCTCCTTTCCCCAAATCCTTGCCAACACGTTATTTCTTGTGTTGTTGATTTTAGCCATTCTGACAGGTGTGAAGTGATATCTCATTGTAGTTTTGGTTTGTATTTCCCTGATGATGAGTGATGTTGAGCATCTTTTCATGTATGTATTGGCCATCTGTATGTCTTCTATTGAAAAATGTCGATTTATGTCTTCTGCCCATTTTTAAACTGGATTATTTATTTTTGGGTGTTGAGTTGTGTAAGTTTTTAAATATGTTTTGGATACTAAGTATTTATTCATGAGAGAGAGAGCAAGCCAATGAGGGCACGATGGGGGGGGTGGCAAGGGTCAGAGGGAGAGGGAGAAGCAGACTCCCTGCTGAGCAGGGGGCCCAACAAAAGACAGATGCAGATGCGGGGGCGCTGGATCCCAGGACCCTGGGATCATGACCTGAGTGGAAGACAGACACTTAACCGACTGAGCCACCCAGGCGCCTCTTGGATACTAAGTCTTTATCAGATATGTCATTGCAAATATCTTCTCCCATCCCATAAGGTTGCCATAAGATTGCCTTTTAGTTTCCTTGATTGTTTCCAACACTGGTTGTTCTATAGGCTGTCACCTTGGGACTTTTTCCTTTAATACTTTAATACTTTCTTGTGTTGGTTTACAAGATCCAATCTATTCTTTTTTGTTAGTTTACTCCCTTATTTAACTGATACACAGCTCTCAATAGTTCCATAAAGATGATTCAGAGGAGGTAAAAGTTTTTGAAAACTTGCTTGGTAAAGGTCTCTTGTTTTTCTTTTCATCTGATTGATAGTTTTGGCTGTAAAATTCTAGCTTGAAAGCAGTGTTCTTGCATATAGAGTTGCTGTTCAGTAGACTGATTACCTTCTGAGAATTTTCCAGCAACTTCCTGCTAAGCCCAGAGCCCAAGCTGGGCTCAGTCTCATAAACTTTGAGATCATGACCTGAGCCAAAACCAAGAGTCAGAAGCTTAGCTGACTGAGCCATGCAGGTGCCCCTTCCTCTGATTCTTAGCTCTTTTAATGTCACCCCCATTTTTTCATTCTGGAAGTGTGAAAATATCCGAGTATCAGTTATTAATCTATTTATTTATCTATCTGGTCTTAAGGGTGTACCCTATTAACATTTAAACTCTCACTTTCAGTTCTTTTTTTTATTATTATTTTTTTAAAGATTTTATTTATTCATTCATGAGAGACAGAGGAGGAGAGAGAGAGAGAGAGAAGCAGAGGGAGAAGCAGGCTCCCAAGGAGCAGGGAGCCCGATGCGGGACTCGATCCCAGGACCCTGGGATCATGACCTGAGCCGAAGGCAGACACTTAACCATCTGAGCCACCCAGGCGCCCTTTTTTTTTTTTTTTTAAGATTTTATTTATTTATTCATGAGAGACAGAGGAGGAGAGAGAGAGAGAGAGAAGCAGAGGGAGAAGCAGCTCACTTTCAGTTCTGAGAAATTTTCTTGTTACGTTTTGACCATAATTTCTCCCTTGAATTTTCTACATTCTCACTTTAACCAGAATTTCATTAGTTAAATATTGGATCTCTTGGATTGATACTCTGAACACTATTTTTTTTTCCCTTTCTTATATTCTCAGTCTCTTGCTCTACTTTTTGGACAATTTATTTTATCATCCAGCCTTTATATTTAAGTTGTTTTTTTGGCTGACAATATTTATTTTTAAGAGCCCTTTTTGGTTCTCTAAGTGTTTTCCATATTATCTTGTTATAGATTTGTAAATGTATTAGCTTCCCTCATCTATAATTAATTTATTATTTTAAAATACCTTATACAAAAATGCAGTATGCAGTAAAAATTACTGTTACACCCATTGTTAAAATGAGAGTGAGTTACAAAGAAGTTAAGAACTTATCCAGGTTATATAGCTAGTGGGGGGGGCACTTAAGCCCTAATCTATTTTCAATTTTACAGTAAGAATACATACTTCATGCAGTTACTGTTGAGTAAATGTATATGTGTTACTTAGTACAATGGGTATCACATAATAATTCTCAATAAGTATTAGCTCTTATTAGATTTTACCATTCTGGGGATATTAATCAGAAATTTTTAAAGACTTTTTTCTGTTTTCTCTCTATTATATATGTCTCTTCCTGTTCCTTTTTGTTTTGTTTTTTGGTGATGGCAGTTTGACCTTTCTAGTCATGTTGTAGGAATTTCCTCAAATGTCCTGTGGTCCTGGGTTATCTTCTCATATTTAAAAATGATGAGATACCATCCTGTCTGCTTTTTTTTTTTTTTTTTTGTGAAAACATGAGGCCTGTTGATGGTAGGACTTCATTCTAATGTAACCATGCTAGGATAGGGCTATTGATTTGGGAGACCCCTCCAAAATATCAGTGTGTAAGTCTTTATCTGAGCTTTCCATATTTTCCAGGTTAGAATTCTACAGTAGCTTCTGTGTGATGGAAAGTTAGAGAGAAGGTCAGGTATATACCTTGTGTCCTACAACCAGAGAGTATTGCATGGTAAGGGTAATATGGAAATCTCACCATTCAGGATGCAAAATTTTGCTTAACCTCCATCTTTTTAGTTTTATACCTCTACTTGCACTCAACTCTGCCAAGGCCTCCAAAACTAGGGATAGTCCCATTTAATTTCTCCAAAGAACTAACTTCCCATTCTCTGCCTCTGAGATACTTTCCTATCTATGTAGGATGATGAGAGGATCAGAGTATCCAACTCTCCCATTTACATACTGTCACCTAATAACTTATTTTTTAGTCCTTAACTGACACTTGGCTCTTCTAAATCTTGTACCTAAATGGGATATTGTAGAAAAACCCACTAGTTTTGTGTGAATATCTCCAATACAGGAACTTTAGTTTAGATGTTTCTTGGAACTGCTAACTCAATTGCTCTTTTTTCTAATTTCTGTCATCAATATTATGGGTGTTCACTTGTGCATTCTGAGTCTTTATGAATTCATACCACTTTAGGTTTTTCTGTCATTTTAGTGAGTATTTTAAAAGAAAGGAGGATAACTGAGTGTAGTCAACCTACCTACTTTTCAGTTTCTACCCTTTTGTAGTAATCAATTTTTCAATCATGTGCCTTACATTTTAAAAAATGTAATTTGAACTTACCATTTTTAAATGTAAAATTTTTAGAAACCTCCTTGATCCATTCTTGAGAGCATTATTGAGAGCTTCTAGGATCTATTTCAAACAATTTCTCTCAACCTTGCACTTTGGCTAGGACTCAAACCACCCAAAGCTTAAAAGGTGGTCCCAGTTTTAAAACAAAGCAAAGTCCAAAGATCGGTCTTCAGATTCTGAGACGAAAATCTCCACCTATAATTATATACCTCTATACCTTTTGAAATGATTGCTTCAAAAGCAGGTCTATAATCTTAATTGTCTAATCAGAGTAAAACTAAGTTTTTGCTCTATGATTGGGAAAGAGAATTTCTCTCTTTTGGGGTTGAAAGAGAAAACAGGTGACCATAGTTGTAGCTGAATAAATCTTGTGAGCCTGAGGGAAGGTGGTTTTAGGAGTAAGCCTGCTTTAAATGAAAGTAACATGTTTGTGTTTGCGTACGTATTAAATACTTTGTGTAAATTATGAGAAATTAGAACTAAATTATGACTTTACCTAATGTGTTCCACCCCAGTATTTTACTTCATTTTCTCCCAGTTCACAGCTGACTGTTGTGAAGGAAATCTACAGAGATGACTTCTCGCTCTGTAACAACTATCTGTGTTTCATCTCATGATCTACCCAATTCATATCCTCTGAGGGGAATCCCAAAGTGACTCGTGTATACTTTCCCTTTCCATTACAACCGAAAGAAGGCCAAGTAGTGATGCAATCTTGTTTCAGGTTTTCAGTTTTCTCAGAAAGATTGGGAACTCCTGGGAGCCAGGAATCATATCTTGTATTTAAAACAATACTAACAGCATCAGGAACTTTAAAGAGTATAAAACATTTCTTATGGAAGATAGAATATATTTGTAATCACTTAAACAAAATTAGTAAAACAACATTTGTTTCTGAAGGACATTGATATTAATGGAATTTAGGTAGCTTTCACCTAACTGAAAATCTCTAGAGACGCATGGTGGCGCTGCAGGATAACATCGCGGGGGTGAAAAAAAAAAACTACACTGGATGATGTTCAGGACACTGTTACCCAGTGGGCACAGAGCGGTGGGAAGACAGAAAGAACACGCCTTCAAGGGGCGAACTACAAGCTACTCAATAGGGTTAAAATGCATAGGCCTCCGAAGATTTGGTGGACATTATCAGAGGCACGTTTCCCAGAACTGCGAAGAGAAGCTGAAGCGATTCTGCAGGAAGCTTTCCCTAAAGGAACTATGGAGAACGGAAGGGCAGACACTCTGCAGATAAGGCAAGTCCTGCTTCTTTTTGTTTTGCTAGGAATGTCTCAGGCGGGTTCCGAGTCTGGGCGCTTTTCGGTGGCAGAGGAAATGCAGAGTGGGAGCTTTGTAGGCAATTTGGCAAAGGACCTGGGACTAGAAGTGGGTGAGCTGGTCTCAAGGGGGGCTCAGGTGGTCTCTAATGATAACAAAAGGCGTTTGCAGCTGGACATAAACAACGGAGATTTGCTCTTAAGCGAATCACTAGACAGGGAGGAGCTCTGTGGTTCCACGGAGCCCTGTGTGTTGCATTTCCAGGTATTAATGAAAAACCCTTTGCAGTTTTTACGGATTGAGCTCCAGGTCAGGGATATAAATGACCACTCTCCTGTCTTCTTAGAAAAAGAAATGCTCCTAGAAATCCCAGAGAATAGTCCTGTTGGTGCTGTGTTCTTACTAGAAAGTGCGAAGGATTTAGATGTAGGAATCAACGCTCTAAAGAACTACACAATAAGCCCCAACTCTTATTTCCACATTAAAATGAGAGTCAATCCAGACAATAGGAAATATCCGGAGTTGGTTCTGGACAAGGCACTGGATTATGAAGAGCAGTCGGAGCTCAGTTTCATCCTCACTGCTCTGGATGGCGGGACTCCGGCCAGGTCCGGGACTGCCTCAGTTCGGGTGGTGGTTGTGGACGTTAATGACAATTCCCCGGAGTTTGAGCAGCCATTTTATGAGGTGAAGATTCCAGAGAATAGCATATTGGGCTTAATCATTGTCACCGTTTCCGCTTGGGATTTAGACTCAGGAAAAAATGGAGAAGTATCATATTCTTTTTCCCATGCCTCAGAAGATATTCGCAAGACATTTGAAATTAATCAAAAGTCCGGAGAAATCAGTTTAACGGCATCCATGGATTTTGAAACAATTGAATCATACTCAATAATCATTCAAGCCACAGATGGGGGAGGCCTCTTTGGAAAATCAACAGTCAGAATTCAGGTGATGGATGTGAATGACAATGCTCCTGAAATTGCCGTGTCATCAATTACCAGTTCAATACCAGAAAATTTGCCTGAGACTGTGGTTATGGTTTTTAGCATACGAGACAGAGACTCTGGGGACAATGGGAGGATGATTTGTTCTATCCCAGAAAACCTCCCTTTCATAGTAAAATCTTCTGTTGAGAATTACTACACATTGGAAACGGAGAGAATGCTGGATAGAGAGAGTCAGGCCGAGTACAACATCACCATCACCGTCACCGACCTGGGGACCCCCAGGCTGAAAACCCAGCACAACCTAACGGTGACGGTGTCCGACGTCAACGACAACGCCCCGGCCTTCAGCCAAGCCGCCTACACCCTGCGGGTGCGCGAGAACAACAGCCCCGCCCTGCACATCGGCAGCGTGAGCGCCACGGACAGAGACTCGGGCGCCAACGCGCAGGTCACCTACTCGCTGCTGCCGCCCCAGGATCCGCAGCTGCCGCTGGCCTCGCTGGTGTCCATCAACGCGGACACCGGGCAGCTGTTCGCGCTCAGGTCGCTGGATTTCGAGGCGCTGCGGGCGTTCGAGTTCCGCGTGGGCGCGGCCGACCGCGGCTCGCCGGCGCTCAGCAGCCAGGCGCTGGTGCGCGTGCTGGTGGTGGACGACAACGACAACGCGCCCTTCGTGCTGTACCCGCTGCAGAACGGCTCGGCGCCCTGCACCGAGCTGGTGCCCAGGGCGGCCGAGGCGGGCTACCTGGTGACCAAGGTGGTGGCGGTGGACGGCGACTCGGGCCAGAACGCCTGGCTGTCGTACCAGCTGCTCAAGGCCACGGAGCCCGGGCTGTTCGGCGTGTGGGCGCACAGCGGCGAGGTGCGCACGGCCAGGCTGCTGAGCGAGCGCGACGCCGTCAAGCACAGGCTGGTGGTGCTGGTCAAGGACAATGGCGAGCCGCCGCTGTCGGCCAGCGTCACGCTGCACGTGCTGCTGGTGGACGGCTTCTCGCAGCCCTACCTGCCGCTCCCGGACGCGGCGGCGGCCGAGGCCCGCGCCGACCCGCTCACCGTCTACCTGGTGGTGGCCTTGGCGTCGGTGTCGTCGCTCTTCCTGTTCTCGGTGCTGGTGTTCGTGGCGGTGCGGCTGTGCAGGAGGAGCCGGGCCGCGTCGGCGGGCGGCTGCTCGGTGGCCGAGGGCCCGTTTCCGGGCCACCTGGTGGACGTCAGCGGCGCGGGGACCCTGTCCCACAGCTACCAGTACGAGGTGTGTCTGAGGGGAGACTCAGGGACCGGTGAGTTCAAGTTCTTGAAGCCCATTATCCCCAACCTCCCACCGCAGTGCCCTGGGAAAGAATCGGAAGAAAATCCTACCTTCCACAATAGCTTTGGGTTCAATATGTAGAGACCACAATTAAGTTTCATATTCTATATGTGCCACTTTTTCATGCCACTTCCAAATCAATGTTATTTTCCCCAATTTGTGTGTATTTTAAATTGTATTCGGTGTACTTTTGTATTTTCACAAATTCTACCCATCTTTACGTTTAAGTGAATGTTATCTTTATTTGTGCTGGTAATTAGATGTACCTTATTCTGTATCCAGGTCTTAATGGGTGGTTTGCCTCCTTAAGTAACAACACCAAATCACTTTTGTCCATGGCCCTCTCTCCAGTTGAACTTTCATCCACATTATGCTTTTGGCAAAATAAAGCAGACCACTTTCAAAGTATTTCAAGTGTTCAAGTATTTCTTCATTTCTCTTTTTTCTTGTCATTTTTCTTGTTGGGTAGTAACAGTTGCTATTCAGAAATGTCATTTTTCCTCCTTTAAATTCACTGCATTTTTTATTAACACTTTAAAATGTTTATTGCTGTTGAAAATACACCTGAAAAATATGTCCTATAATAGAACTGTAAGTGTAATCACCTTGTTAGAAAGGGCCAGAAGGCAATTTTGTTAACATCCCTTCTTTATTCATCCTGGAGAGTGATTGTGAAGGCACATCAATATTGTGGCTACCCAGAAAGTTTTGGAATATGAAGTTATAATTTTTCAGGTTTCTTGCTGATATTACAAAGCTATAATGCAATCCACTTGAATCCATCTGAATAGTAATTTGTATAGAATAAAGTGGACTTGTATGCTAATGTTTATAACTTTTACCTTCTGTGTATATATATGTATATACACTTACATATACACACATATAATACATATACATGTGTATATATAAATACATATATATAGTGCCCAGTGGGCACTGATAGAAATAGTAGGCACTAATTTCTAAACTTAAGGGGCGCCTGGGTGGTTCAGTCGATTAAGCAGCCAACTCTTGATTTTGGCTCAGGTCATGATCTCAGGGTTGTGAGATTGAACCCTCTGTTGGGCTCCACACACTGAGCGTGGAGCCTGCTTGGGATTCTCTCTACTTCTCCTTCTGCTCCCCGCCCCACGTACTCTCTCCTCTCTCTTATAAAAAAAAAAAAAAAAAACCTTTGAAAAATGACAGCCGACAGAAAAATTATGTTGTATATATTGTATAATACATGAACATAACAAATGTTTTATAAACAATTCTTAGCTTTTTGGGGATGAAATCTAAAATTGCCCATATTATTCCATTCTCCTTAATTCTCAAGTGTGGTTATGATTCACTAAATTGATTTCATGACCCTACTAATGAGTAGCAATCCAAAGTTTGAAAACCACTTTTCTCAGAGATAAATGTAGATATATGTAGGGCATTGAGAAGTATCAAAAGATAATCCTTTAAGGTTCTAACTTTTTAAAAAAATTTCAAACCATTGTAAGAGGAAGTTTTGTCTCATGTAGCACAGGCACCAACCAACTACTCTTGACTTTAGTGATCTGGGTACATTACAGAAGAAAAAGCCTTCATGATTGGGGCAAGAGTTTTCCAGTGAATCTCATCAATAAGCCCAAAGTCTATATGTTGTGGAAGGAAACTGTAGAGAAACAAAATGAGTGAGGGTATAGAGGAAAGGAAGTATGTGTGTGTGAGAGTAAGCACATGAAAGATGAAATGGGGGTGCCTGGGTGGCTCAGATGGTTAAGCATCTGCCTTCGGCTCAGATCATGATCCTGGGGCCCTGGGATTGAGCCCCACATTGGGCTCCTGGCTTAGCGGGGAGTCTGCTTCTCCCTCTCCCTCTGCCCCTATCCCCTTGTTCATGCTGTCTCTCTGTATCTCTCTGTCTCAAATGAATAAATAAAATCTTTACAAAAAAAAAAAGAAAGATGAAATGGGTGAGGGTAAGGAGCATGATGGCTCTTTTGCCTATAGTACCACAGACTAGAATCACTACCAGAAAGTGCCTCTTCAATAATTTTAAAAACATTATCTTAACACTGTAGCAAGGGTAGGTATTAGTTAAAGTCAGGAAGTAGAATTTCTTGCTGTAGCATATCCCAAATAATCTAATGTCTGCACTTTCTGAAAGCTGAGATTTCACTACCAGTTCTTCTGAACTGCATGGAGTGATTATTCTTTGAATTCAAGAAAAATGGAGGGAACAGAAGTTCGTCCATGCAGGCTAATTAAATTCTAATTTTCTATCTTTAGAAGTGGAACTAGGAGACGAACCATTAGAGACGATGGACTCTGAAAAACAAACTGAGGGTTCTAGAGGGGAGGGGGAAGGGGGATGGGTTAGCCTGGTGATGGGTATTAAAGAGGGCACATTCTGCGTGGAGCACTGGGTGTTATGCACAAACAATGAATCATGGAACACTACATCAAAAACTAATGATGTAATGTATGGTGATTAACATAACAATAAAAAATTATTTAAAAAATGCAAAAAAAAAAGTGGAACTAGGAGCAAGTTCGTTCCCCCCCCAAATGAAAAGCTGCTTTACAGAGAGAATGAAAATTCACATGAAATCCATAGATCTAAGTAAAGTATTAAGATTACCTCCTGCCTTTACTGCAGTTAGTAGGGAAAAGATGTATGATCACTAGCTTAAAAAGATAAAAAGCATTATAGCACCTTAGCGTACCAGACAAGATGCATAGACTACTGAAGGTGAAAAATAAAAATGGCCACTTGATGCACACTGGAATAGCCATAATCAAAAAGACAATAATAACTGTTGGAATGTATGCAGAGAAATTGCTGCAGGTTGGAAGGAATGTGAAGTGGTGCATTTGTTTGAAAACAGGAGAGTGATTGTGAAGGCACATCAATATTGTGGCTACCCAGAAAGTTTTGGTGAAGGATTTAGATGTAGGAATCAACGCTCTAAAGAACTACACAATAAGCCCCAACTCTTATTTCCACATTAAAATGAGAGTCAATCCAGACAATA